ATAATTAACGCGCTCATATATTATATTACTATTTGAAAATAAAGTAATATATATATATATATATATATATATATATATATATATATATATATATATATATACTAGTAGATAACACAAAAAATGCACCCAATGCTTATATTTTATGAATATTATAAAAATAAAAAAATAGAATAAAATAAAAAATAAAAAATTAAATTTAATAAAGAAATAAATCGCATTCTTTTTGAGAGACTTGTTTCCCAACAGTCGTTACACGTGATGTCATGCTAGACCATTTCAAAGGTCCAGCTTCCGAAAGAATAGCACAATGCAGACAAAGGAATTCTAACTACCACATAGACACCATTTCGGTTCTTCATACTGACTGGCAAAGTCGAAAATACTTGCATACTACTTCGTAGAGTATATCCACAAATTCGAGCACAATACTAAACACCCTATCCGGAAATTAGAAAAATTAACTTCTTTTTAATAGAACTTGTTTGGATAAATACTTGCTGCTTACTTATTATATATATATACATATATACATATATATATATATATATATATATATATGTGTGTGTGTGTGTGTGTGTGTGTGTGTGTGTGTGTGTGTGAGTGTGTGTGTGCGTGTGTGTGTGTGTGTAATAGAATTTGGGGGATTTAGGCAAATCCTTATAGTAATTTATCGAGTCTAGAAGAATCCTCAACAGAATGCAGAAAGCACTGGACGGCCGTTCCGTCCTATTTTGGGACTCATCAGCAGTGCGCATCCACTATCGAAATTCGAATCCGAACCGTTTCGATATAACGCAAGAGTCATACCAACTGTACCAACCGACCTCGGTGGCAATGAAGGAACTACATAGACTCGATATAGCGCCGCTATTCACAAATTCCGTGTTTATACTCATCCAAGTATTTATAACCCAAGGGATTGTACCCTGAGAACCACGACTTTCCTTTTCCCCGAAACGCTCCATCGCAGAGCATTAGCTAGTTCAAGCAAGTATATACAAGTAATAGAATATATATATATATACAAATTTATTTTGTAATTGTACTGATAATTTTCCTAATAATGTTTGGTCTTCCAGCGCAAATATCTGAAGTTCTATGCATTTAATTATTACGGAATATCGATTAATGTTTTTTCCTGATCTATTTAATCTTGTAATTTGCTAAATACAGAAAGTTTCATACCGTTCGCCTTTTGTTAAAACTTTGACTTTTTGAAGTTCTAAAAATGTTTTGTTTCTTCTTGTTCTTCGAAAGAGAAGGAAATAATTTACTGTGCAACTTCCAAAAACGAGACATCGTACCAGCATTCATTTTACAATTACCTACTGACCCCAGGGTTATCCAGTATAGACATACTGGGAAAGAATTAATTGGATTAGTCATGTCAGTATCTTCTCACAAGGGAACGATTGTTGCACAGTTGAGATGAAACTAATCGCAAACATAACAAGAAATGTACCCGAGAAAGGAATTAATCGAAGAAACAAGAATAAAAACGATTGAATTACTTGAAGCGAAATTCACTTTCCTCTGTAAGTTGCGAGTTAAACGACGACAAGAAGTCTTAGCCTTACCGGCGATATGCATTTTTTTTCTTTTTCTTTCTCGTCTGTTCTTTTTTGTTGATGATGCTGAAAAAGAATTGTACATGAAAGAAAAATGTTGAATACTCGTCAGACTACGAGACAAAAAGAATGAGCAGACATTTTGCTTATTGTTGTTGTGTATTAAATTTGTCACATTCCCTTCGGTACTCGATAAGGAACTAATATAAGAAGCTGGGTAAAAGGGTGCCTTCTTATTACTAAAGACGGCTGCAAATGACTGCTTCTGATTTACCAAATTGCTCTGACTTATCTGCGAAGGTATTTTTCCCTATGATTTCAACTACTGAAGTAGTCTTTTGATAATGAGTGACACGAATAATAATAATAATAATAATAATAATAATAATAATAATAATAATGCGTATTATAAAAAAGAGGATATTCTCTGTCCGTGAGTAATTGTCTGAGTGCGGTATTGTATGTATATAATGTATGTATATATATATATATATATATATATATATGTGTGTGTCTGTATTATTCGAGATTATCATACATGTGCTTCAGTGATATAATGTAAACGCAAGCACGAGCACACACACAGGCACACCAACACAGTTATTCACATTTTGAGTGAGTTTCTAATAAGATATTGGTTTAATAAAATCCCCTCCCACTCCACTGGATTGAGTAAGATCATAATTTTGGATAGCAGAAAATGCACATTTTATCACACACACACACACACACACACAGACACGCACACACACACACACACACAGAGGTATATATATATATATATATATATATATATATATATATACACACACACAGAGGTATATATATATATATATATATATATATATATATATATATATATATATATATATATATATATATATACAGACAGATATATATATATATATATATATATAATCAAATGGGTAAATATAGGTAAGTATAGGAGCGATCAATCGTATACAAATACATATAAATACTTTCTAGTGTGAGAAAACAGTTCTCAATATAAAATAACAGAGCTATTGAATATATATTTAAAAAAAATATACATATCTTACATTAATTTCAAGAACCTGGCTAGAGGCAAACGGATGTCTAGCCACACTGATGAGCTGTGAGACAGCGAAACAGTCTGTTTGTGGATGACGTTATATATATATATATATATATATATATATATATATATATATATATATATATATGCACACACACATATGAAAAAAGAAAATTTATTTTAGCCGACGCGTTCATCCTGTGAAGGCCTTTATCAAGGCAAATGTAAGGACTTTATTTTGTGACAAGTATTTATATACAAGAGCATAAATATTATTAGTTTTTAAACATATTTTATATGTGTGCTCATGAATATTCATCAGATTAGCGGAAAAGTCAGGGAAGTTCATGGATATGATGTAATAGAGTTCAATGCCTAATTAACAAAATTGAGCAGGAGGTATTTTTTACAAACACACACACAGACACACACACACACACACACATATATATATATATATATATATATATATATAAAATAGAACTTAATAATTACCAAATAATCAGGGGATCAAACGATAGAATAAGAAGAAAATGCAATTACAATCCGTTAATCTCTCTTGACAATAAGTAGATTAATAAAACAATATTTTCTATTGTTTAGTCGTCGGATCTGATAAGGTAATTTAATTTATTGACCTTTTTATCCAATTCAGATTCTCTTATTAGTCACAATGTCATCTTGTTTTTCCAAAATTGTTCAACTCAAAAGTTGCATTCAAAATAATATCCAAATATTATCGAAAAACCTTCTTTCTTTTCCACATTATTATATATACATTTACTTGAGAGGTTTTACAAATTTAATAGCAACAGAAAGAAAATGTTGATTTTTTTTTTTTTTTAATTTGAATACATGTACAGTAATTTGTTTTAATTCATAACTAATTATTAAAGAAACAAACTGAAGAAGAGTTCAATAAGCAAAAAGTTCAGTAAAAGGTCAAGGTATTTATATCGATTTTATTCTGCGGAAGATTACAGTCAATGAGAAACCTGTGAAAAAGTCAAAGCCACCCATCCACCCTGAAATAATGAAATCCCCACTCCCATGTGGGAATTCCCCCCCTGGTTGAAAACCTCTGGAGTAAACGCATTGCCCCCGCATCTGTAAAAGACACTGCGTGCTTCTCTATTTCTTATTCTTTTGCCCTTTTCATTACGTTTAGTTTACAAAGATCAGAACACAGATAAAGCAATAAATGCGTGTGCCAGCAAATCCGCTTAGGCGTACATGTGTCTGTTTGAAACGAGATTATAAACGTGATGAACCTTTACAACGTCCATTGTCCAACTCGCTAATCAAAGTAAACAAATGTAAATGAAGAACGCAAACGTGTCAGCCACAAACAAAGGCAACTGAGCCGGACATGAATTGCAGTTTCCGTTCGGCATAAGACATGCCATGTCGTGTTCCGGCATTATTAACGTTTGTTCATCAGGGTGTTAGTTCAAGCACTTTTCTCAGTAGCATCAGCTTGTATATGGAAAACAGAGACAAATCTAAGGAGAGGATCTAAGGATGAATACCATAGTATAAGGGTTCCGGTTTGGGAAATTATACAACCGGACGACCGGCCGGCAAATTCACCTTTATAGCTGAAAAAGAAAGCCATAGTTAAAACCAGGAAAAGAGAACTGAAATTCTGGGATATATTTATAAGGAAATTTCTGAAACACATTATGACTATCGTCATAATATTCACAGGACGTATTGAGAAAAGTAGTTGTTTTTTTTTTTGTTTTTTTGCAGTAAGTTTCCCCCTGTAGAAGACGTGCTAGAGGGTTACAGTAAGAGGCAGTTTATATGGATAGGAAGGGAAGATGACGATTACCTCTACACTGGAACAGGTTAAAACTTGTAATTATCGGGGAAACATTCTCTTGGGAGTCTGTTCTAAAGAGACATGATTCGTGGGAAGAAGCGGTTTGAGTGGAACTTATTTCTCACCGATGGAATACGATATATCGGATCCTAGCCGTGAAAGACCTGACGGAACCAAGGAATGTAGTTCCTACGAGCACTTTGCATGGAAGTAGCGATAGAGCAGTAAGAGACTCGCCAAATCCCGCCTGTGAGAGAGAGATTGGACGGTGGTAAATAATAATTCTCCAACAAAGAATCGGAGATGCTTTTGAGGATAAGGCTCATTTAATCTATATATTTTGTACGCAATTTTTTTTTAAATAATGGTTTTAGTGATATACGCCTTACTAATTAATCCATAGCTGGGGGAGAAGAGATGAATGCATACCTTTCCCAGGGATATTTGAGCGCAAGCGAATATAACGAACCTAAATGGAATTGGGACTCGGCTCTCTGATTAACAATTTCTGAGCCATTATCCCTTACACCACCCGCACATTCAAGCTTAGAGCACCTGGTATTTCCAAGCAGTCACCCATCTAGGTATTGCCCAGGCGCGTCGTTGCTTAACTTTGGTGTTCTTACTAGAAGCAGTGTTTCAGCATAAAACGACCATAGATGAGAAAAGTAGGGGTAGAGGGGGAAAACACGCTTCCTAATGATGTCATTCAAAGTTTGAATTAAGATATGCTGCCTAAATATACATACATACATACATATATATATATATATATATATGTGTGTGTGTGTGCGTGTGTTTGTGTGTGTATGTGCGTGTGCTATCCTTGTTAAGAGATAAAATAACCTATCAAGATGAAAAGGTCTCGAAAATGTCTTACCCAAACACAAATATACGTCTTGTTATTTTTTTTTAACAATTTTTCTACACTGAAGCCCACCCTGTATAAGGCCCGGGTGTCACTCGAGGTAGAAGGTTGCAGATAAGATGCAAAATTTATGCGGATATCTGGGGAAGACAAAGGTTAACACTAGATATGAACAGGTTAAGATTGTAATGATCGGGAAAACATCTACTTGAGAGTCACCATTGATTTTTTATATGAATTATTTCTTAAGAATATCCCTCCTATCACAAGCCAGAATATTTATGTATGATAATTAAAAACAAAACTTTAGAGGATAATCATTAGTTTAATGTTTTTAATAATAATAATAATAAGTGGGCCAATATCTACACTGGAAAATCTGCAACTTCTACGGGAAGAAAACTGAAAGAAACTGGTATGAACACCACCCAGACCCGGTTACGGACATAGGACCTGTTACAATTCTATGGGACTACACAATACACACTGACAGAACAATCAAGGCCAACCGGCCAGATATTGTTATTAAAGACCACAAACAAAAACGGTGCCTCCTTATTGATATGGCAGTCCCTGCTGACTGCAATGTATCTTTGAAGATATTCAAAAAAGTTGTCAAAGTACAAAGGACCTTTGAAATAGAAATCTCGAAAATGTGGCATATGGGAACATCAACAATCCCTGTTGTAGTTGGAGCCCTAGGACTGGTTGGAAAAAATTGCAGACTAATTGAAGGGATCCTGGAAGTCCATGCCTCAAGGAGATACAAAAATTGTTCTGACAAGTACAGCCCACACCTTACGAAGGGCTTTATCTATGTAATTTAATTTTTTTTTTTTTTTTTTTTTTTTTTGTCAGTGGAAATTGTCATGACGCCATTTCTAACCTAGGGTCCCCAAGGGACCCGGAAAATGTGTAAACGCCAGAAATCAAAGAAAATGATGATAATAATAATAATAATAATAATAATAATAATAATAATAATAAACATAAATAAAATATTCACTTTCGTTTTAGCAACGTCGAAATTCACATCCCTTAGCGACCTCCATAATATATTTTCCTTTCCTGAACGCCAAGATATTTTTGAATATTTTTAAATGTTCACTAATTCAAATTTGAATACGTAAGTTTTTTTTATTGGCGATATTTTTTCTGCATATGTAAATTGAACTATTTTCTTAATATATTTCTACATTTGTCTTTGAAAAGGTTTCTCAACGAAAGAAATGCGTCGTCATAATAGGATTTCAACCAATCATTCCTTTCCTGAACTTTTTGAGTCCTAAGTGTTCATTACTCTGATTGTTTTCGGCAATTTTTGTACGTAAATTTTGCGACGAATTTTATACGATACAATTTTTGTAAGATAACAAGTTTAATAACTTGGAAATAAATCCATGAAATAAACATAATTGTTTCAACGGAAAGTAAGGACCTACGTACATCAAACTGTCTTTAAAGTAAAATGGTGGCAGAAGAATTACGTTTAGAGGGTAAGCTTAAATATTAACGCAATTCTTAAATGCACTGATTAATTTTGAGTTCTTCTGTAGTTTACTGTTGCCTATTGCATCTACTCCTCCCTACCTATTGTGATGAAGACCCAATCAAGAGACCTCTGAAATTAATTTAAATAATATTAATTGCATGTTAGTAGGATTTTGACCAAATAGAAACATGAGAAAAATTTTAAAACTCAAAATATTCGGAAACGCCTGTGTCCTTTTTCAAGGACACGAGAAATAAAAAAAATTGAGTACTTATTATATTATATTTATATTCTTTATATATTATATTTTATAAGCAGTATACGTGGACAATGTTTCTTTTCCATTATATATATATATATATATATATATATATATATATATTATCTAATGAAAATGATGTAACGAGAGTTACCTCGTAGTTGACAGAGGGTTTATTTTCTCTTTTTATACTGAAAATGAAATGAATAAAACGTACAACAATAACATACAACAATAAGTCTTTGAGACCCATGTTGAAATTAATGACAAGAATGTGCATTTTTCATTTCGTGAATGTTATTTACAATATCGTGGAAGTTTCAGATCTTTATTCCTAGAATGATGAAATATCATCATAATGAATAATAACAATGTCCTAAAGGGATTTTTATTACCAATTGATTTTATTCAAAGAGTTGTTTAGACGATCCTATTCATTATGTTGATTTTCTTTTGTTGAGTTCCCTACGAGACAATCTACCATTTTCTTTCTGTAAAAATAAGAACTTTCTCTTTGCTTAAGGATTACGCAGCCGAAGAATGGATCTTCTGAAATATTGTGCCAACAAAGAAAATGAAATAAAATCAACGTAAAGGATTAGATCAATTGTCAAAACAATTCTTGGAATAGTAATGACTCCTCTAAATTAAAGACCAAATTTATTTCATATTCAAAAACAACAAAACCGTTTGGAGAAGACATTCTTACTTTCTTTTCCCAGCAAAAGTCGTTCTTATATATTGTTTCACTAGAGATGTTTTTTATGATCTAAATCTTTTCTCTTTTATTCATCTAGATTTCTTTTCTTTTCATTTTTTTTTTTAGTGGTAAGTAATATGCGCATTTCTGTATGGTAGAGTTGATATAATCCATTCCTACCGCCAACTGTGGTGATAAAAGGAACGAGGCAGAAAAAAAACTGGAAATACTGTTTTCGTCACGCCGCAACTGTGGATCACTCAGTTGAAACTACTTTACAATTACACTCTTAACCATTTCTTAAATTGTCCGTATAATGGTTTGTTCTTCCCTCTTCGTTTTATAGGGAGCAATATCTCAGATTTCAACCTTAATAAATTTACCAATAATATATATATATATATATATATATATATATATATATATATATATGGCGTATTGAATATGCGTGTGCGTATGAGATACAGAAACTTATAGTTATTGTTATTACTGCTTCTACTTATATTATTTATCAAAAGAATACACTTTATTCTCTACTTAGAATAATATGACACTTTATCCGTATGCTATTTTCCCAGTGAATCAAATTTCATGTCTCTATTTTCAACGTAATATGTTACTGCAGTGTATTGCTCTGTATGCTTCTGTCGACACTTGTCCATAACCCTCTGAACTTTCGTTTTCTATCTTTCGTTTGTTTAATATTTTGGCGACATATTTTTTTTTTCTGAAGTAGGATTTGTATCAATGCCCTTAATGCTTAAACGAAAGAAAGTGGCCGAATTTCAAAATGGAAACCAAAAGTTAACACTAAATGAAATAAATCTCATGAAGTTTTCAAACGATCTTCTATCGTTTGAAATTTGTCTAACTCTTTTTTTTTTTTTTTGCAGTTCGAAGTTGCGAATCATAATTATTTTTATTCGCGGTTGATACAAACAGCTCTTTTGACTGACTCGCAGTGAAAACTAAAGGTTCTTCTAATAACTTGGACCGATTTTAAATGTGAATTAAGTTGAAGCGTCTAATGATGTTTTTCTTTCTGAGTTGGTGAACATTTTGGGTGATATTATTTTCCACATATAATTGTCATGATTCAAATAACATGATCCAATAGAAAAATAAATAAATTCTCACTAAAAACACTGATTTACTTACTGCTGTCTTTGATCTGTCTTCATGAAACACTCTTTACATCTTCTGGCCATTAGAAAGGGCTAACCATTAATTTTAAGAAGAATATATATATACTCTTCAACAAGACAGGTAGCCAATGTTGTGATCTATGCAATGGAGACGTCAGGTACGGAATTGTAACTTTTTTAATCGCGTTCAACCCATGCATATTAATGACTTCATTATTTAAACAAAAGTTTCATTTGTTTTAGCACAACAAGGTGGGACTTGAGCAGTTAGTTTCTACGGTCGCAGGTTTTCTGTTGGTATTGCCCCCTCCTATCCGAAGTGCTACGGATAGCATACATAATTTGAACAGATTTTTCCTCTACCAAGTTAGTAACGTACTGCATATCTTGACAGACCAATTACTCAAAATTATTGCACCTGGGAATTATCATGCTAATGACAATATTAGCCGTTTCCTTAAAAGGAAGAATTCACTGATCGAGTAGCCAGTGCCAATTTTGGTTGGAATTTATAAAACCTTTCTCCTGAAATAAAGTTTCAGGAACATACGTTTCTCAAAAGCAGTAAGAGTTATTCCCCTTTCTATTATTGAATGGGGGTTTCCTTCCTAACCATTTGCCCGAAGCTATTTTAAACCATTGATATTAGAAAGCGTTTGTATAGAGCCGACATTCTAAATATTTGTGAACGGTTTTGGCGCCTTGTGGGACGAGGTTAAAGTATGATCTGGAATAGGAATGAAAGTAATGATGGCACCTACCCTAAATCTATCATAAAAATCCATGTGTTGAATTAGTAAATACTAAATACTTAAAATACTTCGGTATATGAATCAGTCATAACAAATTTACTATAGTATAAAATACTCGGGGATAGGAAGACTGGTAGTGCAAATTGCTATAAAACCAAAATATTAACCTGGAGACTCGATTCCTTAAATGAGTCTTCAGGTTAATATTTTGGTTTTGTAGCCATTTACAGTGTTGACGAGATTACTTTGAGCACAGCTTATTTCATTATCGCCTTTACTAAATTTGTCATGAGTGATTCATATAGCGAAGTAGCTCAAGTGTTTAGTTTTTACGGAATCGACACCCTGATTTTTATGAGAGATTTAGGGTATGTGTAGTTACTGGTTCCATTCCAAAACATAGTTTATGTTTTGGGAGTTCATCTTGT